GGCATTCCTTACTCTTCTGGTTTTTAAGTTCTCAGAACTTGTTGGATGATCGAATGGAGCTTTGATTTGATTTGATTGTGATGAATTCGGCTCTCCTGATTTTTTTTTTTTGGACTCATGACTTAATATGTAGTGCTGATTAAGTGTAATGAATTTCATTCCTTTGATTAATAATTTAATATACCTCCCTGCCCTATGAATGCACGAAAATATGTATTTTACTTTTTAAAATGTTAAAATAGTGAATTTTTTGATGTGTTATGAAAGTTTTGGGAGATAAAAAGGTAAAAACAAGTAAAATTTAGATGTACATTTTTGAATACAAAGGTATAACACTCAAATCTTTCATAACATATCATTAATGTTATCATTTGAACTTTTCAAAAGTAAGATAGAATTTTTCATTTGGAGGTAAGAGGATACTACGCAAAATTGAAAGTTTTGATGTTAGGTATGTAAATACACGAGAATTTAGTAGTATGCAAGTAAATCTTCCTATTAATTATGCAGCCCATCGCAGATTATTGGCTGATTGTTTGGTATGTCATCATCATCGTCACCCTCGGCCATATGCATGAAATTCCTGTTCTAAAGTTTAGCTCACAGAGAGTTGGGGAATATAAAAATTAACATGGATTAATAGAAACTACAAGTTTACGGCAATAGAATAAGAGCTTTATCTTGATCATCACTTGCCATGTCCTTGCTTTCTTTGGAAAATTTACAACTCAACAAACTAAAATCATGGAAAGCTTGTGGAATGAATCTGATGAATATTCAAAGGACATTATTGACAGAATGCAAGAGTATATTTCAATCTTAGCAGGAATAATGCTGAAATTCCAACAGGCCTAACAGATCTAGAGAATACTAGAAAGAAAACCCATGTAACCAGAAGCAACAATGCTTAACTTCTGTTTGGAGCATCTACATGCGCTGTTATTATTATGCTGAAAAGTTCTTCTCCTCTCTTTAAGCAAATATATATATATATATATATATATATCTTAACTAAATAAAAAATAAATGACAAGTAGAAGTTTAATATGAAATTCTTAATTTGCCATTTCTTGGCTGGAATGAGTAGTGTAGTTTTGATTTCCTCCATTCCATTCATTTTGAGTCCCAATACATTCAACGCACCAAATTAACCACAAGCTTTCCATCAAAAAAGAAATCATGATTTTTTTGACATAATAGACTGTGCTTGCTGAACTTAATGTTCCTAGACAAATATGCAATTTCAGGTGAAATGAAACCGTTGAAATTTGAAAAGAGCAGCACAATTTTATTGATAAAAGAATGTGTATTCAAACCCAATTACAATATGCCCAACGAAGGAAAGAAATAAAACATAATAAAATAAATAGGAAAAGAATAAAACATAATAAAGTAAAAAAACAAGGATAATAAGTAATAACGGCTAGGGATTTCATTGTCATTATAAATCTAATACTCCACCTCAAGCTGAAGCATAGTTATCAATCATGTTCAACTTGGATTTAAAGTCATCGAACAAAGGTTGAGAAAGACTCTTAGTGAGGATATTCGTTAGTTCACCACTGGAGGTTACAAAAGACACATTTCTCTGGACTCAATCGTTTCCTTAATGAAGTGTATGTCAATCTCCACATTCTTGATACGATCAAGTTGGGCTGGATTATGAGCAATGCTGATGGCGGCCTTATTATCACATATTAGCTGCAATAGGGAGGGGGTCGGCATACAAAGTTCACAGAGCATGATGCGTTACCAGAGGGCTTCATAGATCACTAAGCTCATGGGCCGGAATTCAACTTCAGCGCTGCTCCAAGCAACCACAAACAGTTTTTTACTTTTCGATGTGACTAGATTTTCTCATACAAATGAGCAATACCCCCGAGGTGGAACGACTGTCATGAACTGACCCAACCCAATCAACATCTGTATAAACAACAATAGACTGAGGTGTGACGAAAGAAAAGCAAACGTGAGCCCAGTGTACCTTTAAAATAGTGGAGAATCCGATATAGAGCTTGGAGATGTTGCTCATAGGGGTCATGCATGAATTGACTCACTATACCAACCGCATGACATATGTCAAGGTGAGTATGGGCAAGTTAAATAAGTTTCTCCACAAGGCGTTGGTTGTGAGTCTTATTGACCGGCACACCATTGTGAATGTCAAATAATTTTTCGTTGGGATCTATATAAACATCTTTCAAGGACTCTAATGCTAAAAGATCATTAATAGTAAGAATAATATTGTCAACATAGACAAAAGATTAGCTACATTGTCATTGGAAAAATGTAAAAAAAATAGAGTGTGATCCGATTGAGCCTGATTAAAATCATGACCCATGAACACCTTTGTAAACTTGTCGAACCAGACCCTTGTGGACTATTTTAGCCCATAAAGAGACTTTTACAGCCTACACACTTGCCCTTTGGAGGCAGTAGAGTTAAAGCCAGGAGGGAGAGACTTGTACGCCTCTTCTATGAGCTTTCCATTCAAGAACGCATTATTGACATCTAGCTGAAATAAAGACCAATCTAGATTCACTGCAAGGGACAGTAGAATCCGGACAGTGTTTAACTTAGCCACTAGAGCAAATGTCTCATAATAGTCAACTTTGTGAGTCTGTGAGTACCCTTTGACAACAATCATGTCTTAATGCGCTCAAAAGATTCATCAAAATTGAACTTGGTGTTGAAAATCCATTGACACCCCACACTTTCTTACCTTGAAGAAGATCGAAGATGTCCCATGTGTGCTTCCGATGTAGTGCATTCATGTCCTCCATTACTGTAGTTTTCCAAGCTGGATCAATAAGAACAACCTTAATAGTAGCTGGGATCTAATGGTCCGTTAGTGGCAAATGCTCTGTAGGCTAATGATAAACTGCGGAAAGAGACAATTTGGCATAGAATTGAGGGAGCATGTCTGATTGCATGCCTTGATCGGAGAACTCACCTCATCATTCAAAGGAGGGGCCACGCTGAGGATGTCGCTTGGAGTGGGTTCAAGCTCCTGTAAAGCGGTAGTGCGTTATAGAGTAAGAGCATTGGAATAGGTGCACTGAGCGTATACACAAATAGTGGGAGGGGGAGAAGGTGCATTCTCCAGATCCGGGAATACTCACCAGATTTGGGAACTCACCAGATGGTGCACTCACCGAGGCAGTGGACTCTTTAGTAGCAGGAACAATGGGGGGAGCATCCATAAGAGTAGGATAAGAGATAGTGTCTAAGAACCCAAGCTCCCACTCACTTTGGATTGAACTAGAAAAATATGAGTCACTTTCGAAGAAAGATACATCAACACTCACATAGATTTTGTTAGTGATAGGATCAAGACACTGATACCCCTTTTGAGTGGCGGAGACCCAAGAAAGATATATTTTATAGATCTGGGATCAAGTTTACTTTGATTAGGGGTAGTGTTTCGAACAAAGGTAGTGCAATCAAAAATCTTGGGGTCTAATGTCGAGAAGATTCTATTGATAGGGAAGCATGACATTAGGATGGTAAGGGGGTTTATAACTTGTGAATTTTAGATGATACTTTATTTATGAGATAGGTGGCAGTGAGAATGACATCGTACGAAAAATACTTTGGGACATTGGATTGTAACATAATAGAACTAGCAACGTCGAGATGATAGTTTTTCCTCTCGGCTACCCCATTTTGTTGAGAAGTGTCAGTACAAGAGCTATGGTAAATGATGCTCTTACTCACTAAAAATTCACCCAAAATAGAGTTGAAAAATTCACGACCATTATCGGTCCAAAAAGCCTGAATAAGAGTCTTGAATTGAATTAAAACAAAGATATAGAAGTTTTGGAATGTGCAATAGCTTCTGATTTGTCTTTTAAAATGTTGACTCACGTCATTGGAATTTAGTCATCAATCAAAGTCAAGAACCACCTTTTATTGGTGTAGTTGAGAGTGCGAGAAAGTTTGTTTTTATTAGAGTACATCAAATGATACAATTTTTTTTTTTAAATATTAGAAACTAGAATGACCTAAACGACAATGCAATAATATAATGAAACATTTAATGACCCGAGATAAATTATAACTCTTGAGATGTGTGTTTGTATTTTTTGTGTCTTTCTCTTGGAAGTAATAGAGTCAAACTATTCTCTTAGCAGTTCCAATCATCATCCCCGAACGACGATCCTGAAAAGCACAACCATCAGAAGCGATATTAACAACGCAATCATTATCATTCGTTAACTTGCTGACAGATAACATGTTACATTACAATTGGGAAACATGTAAAACAGACTCCAGAATTGGAACAGTTGTTAGTAGAATCGACCCTTTACTAACAATGAAACTGCATGAGCCATCAGGAATTCTAACGGAATATTTTTCCGAGAATGGATAATAGGTCAAGAAAACTTGTGATCATCCAATCATGTGATCCGTGACACCTGAATCAATAATCTACGGACTAGCGGAAGAATAACTCGCGAAAGCCATAGGAAAATATTATTTTGACTTGAACAATATCTTATACTTCCCATATCATTATTTTCAAAATAAACTATTTCATTTCACTTAATTTCGCTTCCCACTTCTTTCTGCTTCATCTTGGAAATGCACTAACCTTATCTTGAAGTTTGTTCATCAAGTGGAATTTTGGGGCCCGATATTATTTCTTATAATTATTATTGTTTATTTTATGCATATTTAAGTACTTAAGCAAGATGTTGATTGACATAAACATGTCTCTACTTATTCGTAGGCTCAGAAAATCAGGAAATCTATAGTAATTACAAACAAATTTGCATTATTACACTCACTTATGGTAGAAGTTTAATATATAAAAAAAAATTGTTGAATGACAAATAAACAAATTAAGAATTTATATCAAGCCTTCATATTCATATATATGTTCATGCATGCAGCAATTTGTCCGTTTCCTTTTCAGTTTATCTTTACATTAACTAATAGTAAATGAATCTTTCTTTAGTTTCCTTAACTGTTTCTGGACGTAAACATAAGTGAGATTAGGATTCTGTATTTTCCCTTATTCGAGTCCACAATTGGTGGTTTAATTAT